GAACACCCAGCATCAGCATAGGCGGGGGGAGACAGAGAGGCAGCGGTCCTTTCATCAGAAGCACGTTTCCCAGGTTATTCTAGGTCTCATCAAGTTGACAAATGAGATTAACCATTATAACCTGGAAGGTGCTCACATTTGCATCTTTCATTGGCAAAGCATTCAATTAGATGAGCATGATTTCTCTATTACAATATTACAGCTGGACTTTTTAGACTAAAATTCTGAACTGTGGGTGAATTGGAGTTCAAATTTGAAAGTGATTCAACTTTGAAAAGTTCTTTTACTAGAGTTGATCAGTCTAGGACCATGGAGAGTTCAAATGTTGCAGATATGGAGACAGTTTGTCTTCAACTTTATACCCCTTATACCATTCACTGCCCCCCTCTTTATGTGTTCTAACATCCTTTTCACTCTAGGGTAAAGTTTTGGTATGTCTTCATAGCAACCTAGAAGGTAACAAATCATCAAAAAAATCTGGTGTTCACAGCTGAGTTTCATTGTAACCTACATCCCTACAGTCCCACCAATGCAAATGCTTTCATTTATTATTTCCTTTTGCTCCATAACTCTACAAATCTTATTAAACTTGTATATTGGAACATGTTATACAGCTACAACAAGAATCTATTGTCAGCCATGATCTTGTGTATTTGATTCCTTGTCTGTCCTGAAGTCACAAAATGAATGAATCTGCTTTACAGTTCTGGTTACTGGGTATATCAGCCACAGCAACTACCATACCAACATTCTTCTCCTGAATGGAAAGGACCTAATGTAAGCCCTTTACCCTGGGAAAACAGAAATTCAAGGGACTCTCAAGACATTTACCTAAGTGCAGGGAAGCCAGTGATAAAGTGTCACACTGTGCCATGAAGCAATGCAATGAGTCTGTTATGACACTACTCACAAATCTGAAGTCCTTATGCAGAAAACTGCATAAAAAGAAAGTGGGCATGCAGATAAGTGAGAATATACACATGACAAAGTACTAGAATGGTTCATCCCTTATGAAACCAGACCTTACATCTTACTCTGGCTTCATATTAAGATTATGGATATGATAAGTTCCTCCTTACTTAAAGTAGCCCAAATGAACCAGTCGTTTGCAGCCTGAAAAATAACATTTTAAGATATTTCTTCACAAGTACTATTAAAAACAGATGAAATGACTCACTGATATAAAAGCATCATTTATAGGATTTCATAAATAGTATTTTATAATGGTAATTTATTATTAGAGTCTTACTATTTAATTATGGGTGGCCACCAAGAACTGGCAATAACCTGTTTGACAGCGCCTCTGGTTCCACTGCCCAATAGCTCAGGGTTATATCCCCCATGCCTACCACTGAGGATTTCGTTTAATGAACCATGTCTTCTGGAAGCAGCAATGTGCACCCATACAGGTACTCTCTTTTATTTATATATAATTAGCCTACAAACTAATGGATTTCCATAAGGTGTCTTCATGTTCCCTTTAAGTTGAAGCTATCCCACTGTGTTCCAACTCCTTCCCCAGCCACCTGATCCCCACTTAAACCTTTAGCTCCTAGTATTCCCCCATTCTCCTTTCATGTCAGCTGTGTTCTATTTGCTCTAATTGAATATTCTTTAAGTTGGATGACAATAAATCTCCATATAACTTTTTGTACCCTTTAAATGACTAAATTTTCTGCCAATACCTCATTTCCACCCCCCCATAATATCTCCACACTTGACGCTTCCTGCCCCCACTACTGCCTCTCTCTGTGCATTCATTTTACCTCCCCTTGCCTCAAGCACCCACTCCCCACTCCCCACTCCCACAGTTGCCTGTTTCTAGATTCCTCTCTTCAATGTATAGAAGATTCAAAGCTAGGACTTAATGAATTTGTTGTTTGTGCATCCCTAGCCTCAGTATGTTTTTTTGTTTGTTTGTTTTAGTTTCATCCATCACAATAGCTTTTTGTCTTTTGATTATTTTAAAGGAAAATAAGCAAAAATCCCTGCCCCCCCAAAAAAAAACAATAGAGTGGGGGCTGGAGAAGATGACTCAATAGATAAGAGCTTTAGCTGTCATTGCTGAGAACCTGGGCATGTTTTTACAACACCCTTTCATAGCCATCTGTAACTAGAGTTCCAGGGACATTCTTCTGGACTTTGTGCATATCAGGTATACATGTATACAGTGTACATGTAGGGAATATGTAGGGAAATCCACTCATACACATAAAAAGTTTCTTAAAAATAATGGAGGATAAGAGTTAAATGGATTTTATAAAACCACAAATATCCTGTTTATTGTCTAGGAGAGACACATTGATTTAAGGCTACAAACAATTTGACAATGCAGGAAACAAAAACATTCGATTTAAATGGTAACCAGTGGAGAGGAGGTGTGACTAGAGCAGAAAAATACATTTTAAATATAGCAGTCTTAAGGTGATAACCAGCAGCATGCCTTCAGGCTTTCAGAACTGTGAACTAGATGAATGCATTTTTTTTTTTTTAACCACTGAGCATCAGGCATAGCAAAGCAAATTGGATTAAGATACCCATCAAGACAGAACCAGAAAAAAAATAGAAAAATTTAAACAGACTTAAAGTGAATAAGAAATTAAGAAGAGAAAATTTCCCAAGGAGGAGCTTTCCTAGATGGATACAAGGGTGATTTCTACTAAACGTTTTAAGCCGAACTA